AAAAAAAAAGTTTAGTTTTGAGACGATGCCTGTTTGGCACCAACATTTTCTCATAGTCTATGCAGATATGTTGTTGCAGCCTTCAGACAACCACTTCATGGCGGAGTAAACTTCGACCGGTGTGTAAGGAACACCATTGTAGAACGAGCAAGTTCTGAGTCAGAGAACGCAGGATCTGACTTGTACTTCTCGCACAAAGACTGCTTTTGTGCTAGAGTTAGCGACATGTAGGAGGTAGGGCGATGTCCCATTGTCTTTGGCGGTAATAAATAAAGTGTTTATTTGTATGAAGACGTCCGCTCCAAAATTTAAAATCAGATCGATGCGGCGTGTCATCCCTCCCCGAGGAGGGGAAAACCGTTGAGGTTAATTGCTAGGGTGGTGATGGGCAAAGGTAATTGCGCATCCGATTCGCATAATCATAAAATCTGGCAGTGTATCGACTGATACCGGTGCCGAATTGGAGGTGCACGACTGTACTTCGAAATAGTCGGACAGCCGTCCAACTGATTCCACAGAATCTCATATTTGGTCTGATTCAGACTCTGAATGCCCTATCTATTAACTGCATAACAACGCGCTAGAGTTACTTTCGCATCGGTAGCACGTCCGTGTGGTATTTGTTCCTGAAATACGTGCGCACAGGGCCCAGCACCACAAAGTACTCGAACAGGATGCAGGTGAACAGGTTCCCCATAATGATACCGAAGTATTTGAGACGGAAACTCATGGGCATCGCCACGTCTGGCAGTCCGACGACGTTCGTACTACTCGAAATGCGGAATTGGTCGGTGAGGGAGCTTGGCTCGCCAAGAACCAGGTACAGATCAAGAGCACCGACAGCAGCGAAGAAAACCAGAAGCAGGTAATTACACCAGATCGACTGACGATAGATCGAGCCGAAGCTGAACGTCCACGCGGCCGTGTGTTGCTGGAAGATGATCGAGAAGAAAAGCACCGTCGCCATGTGATTGTCCGAGAGCAGCCACCACTTGGCCACATCAACGTCGTCCGGAGAGAACGGACAGTACCAGACTTCGCTCATGAGCATGTGAACGCCACAACACAAATAAATGACGTTGATCGCCTCCTGGCCGAAGATCGAGAGCAACGTGGTGGGTCCGATCAAACTGGACGTCGGACGCGTGTCTTTCAGCTCCTTGAGTGGCTTAGACAACGTGATGACGTACGAACAGCCTACCAGAGTGAAGCCGTCCGCGAGGATCCAGCACCATTGAGACATAATGACGGCATGGTAGTACTGGAATAACCGAAGGACGGACTCAATGAGGCCGTAAACGATCAGGAATTTGACGGACGAGAAGGATGTGGCCAAGCTACAGCGACCTTCACGGCACAGATCAACCACCGACTGGATCGTCTTCGACTTGCTCGTGAACGGCGACACAACCGAAGCTTCGGCGTCGCTCAGAGCCACACCACAGTGCGCGAAACGAAGAGCACCACAATCGTTGCCACCGTCGCCGCACATGCCAGTCACCGCACCCGTCTCCATGTGCAGCTTCACACACTCCACCTTGCCGTCGGGTGTCATGCGACTGTAGATACGGATGTGCAGCAGCAAACCCTTGATCTCGCCCATCGACACCAAGTAGTCGAACGCCACGCCCGTCACGGCCAGCTCCACGTCTTCACCGCGTTCGACAAGGTTCTTCACAGCCGGCAGGTCGTACTCCTCCTCCGAGTCCACGTCGCGCCATACCAGCTTCTTCACCTCCGTCGTCGACACCATCTCACCCAGGATCACACGCGAGCTGGACGACACCATGCCGCTCTGGCGAGCGATGTAGCAGCCGCACATGGCGTTGTCACCCGTGATCATGACCGTGCGGATGTCGCCGGCCTTGAGCTTGGCGATGGCGTCCGCTGTGTCGTCCTTCAGCTCGTTGCGGAACAGGATGAGACCCAGCAGCGACAAATTCTCGTCCACGGCCTCGCGGTTGTCGGCGAACTCGACAACCTGGTCGTGCGTCCAGTCGCTCGGCAGCTCGCGGTACGACAGACCCAGCACGTAGCACCCGTCCTTGGCCAGACGGTCAGCCACGCTCTTGTAGTCGGCCGGCACGCTTCCCGGTGTGCTCAGTTGCTGCATGCGCTCGTACGAACCCTTGCAGAACACGTAGTACTTGCCACTCTTGCGGTTGCGCACCACGACGCTCATGGACATGCGGTGGTGATCGAAGTCGTAGCGCTTGACGAACTCGAGTTCCAGTCCTGGGTCCACCTTCGACCGCACGTACGGCTGTACACCTTCCTTCTCGACCAGTTCCCAGCCCGTCGCCGTGAACATACGCACCTCCACTTCGTTACCCACGAGACGGTCTTCAAGCGAACCGACCGAGTGGCACGTTGTCAGGGCGTACAGCAGTTCTTCGGATGACGGTGCGTCCTTGACGTCGTTGACGATGGGAGTGAACAGGTTGTTCTGGACAGGTTGCACGCCCAGGAAATCGAGTCCCTGCTTAGTGAGCGTGCCGGTCTTGTCGAAGCAGAAGATGCGCACCTTACCGGCGAGAGTGATACGCTGCACGTTGAGCGAGAAGACATCAAGCTTCTGGAGCCTCTGTGAGGCGTTCACTTGACCGACAGTGATGACAACGGGTAGAAGTGGACTAATGACGCACGAGAGCATGAAGATAGCATAACAGAATGCAGCAAAACGGTTGCTCAAGTTACCGTTACTCAGCAGGAAGTTGACGATCAGGATGCACGCAACCACGGCGTAAACAAAGAGCGCTGTGATCAACACCTTGAGGTGTTCGTTGTACTTGAAACGCATCGGGATCGGGAACAGGATCGACTGGATCAACTGGCCCTTCGTCGTGTGTGCGCCGGTTGTCTGCACAATAGCCAGGATCTCCTCATTGCGACCCGAAGACAACACGCGAGTGCCGGCGAACAGCGTGTGCTTCTTGCTGCCCTTCTCAGGATCGTATACTTCCGAGCTGCGCTCCGGGATCGGGAACTTCTGCACCGGCATCGATTCACCAGTCAACATGGACTCGTCACACACCGTCGTGCCCTTCACGATGGCCATATCGCACGGCACCACCCAGTTCTCAGACACCTTCACCAGATCACCGGGAGCCAGATCAGGAGATGACAACACTCGCCATTCACCAGCGCGGAACACCGTCACATCCGTGCGATAACGGGTCATTTTGACAATGGACGACTGGATCTGACGCTGCGTGTAGATGTTAACTACGGCAGCGCCCAAGACCACAACCGTCATGACGATACCCATGTTCCAGTACGTGAAGTAATACCAGACGTAGTAGCACATGATCTGGTAGATGTAGAACAGTGTGAAGAATTCGTGTGCAATAGATACCGGCAGCGACGGCATCTCGACGTCAACTGAGTTATAGCCAACCGTGTTGATACGGTGTTCAGCCTCCGAATCCGACAGCCCCTTCGCCTCATGCAGAATGTCATCGTAGTTGTTTCCTAGCGCGACAGCTCCGGGAACGAACCTGCCTTCATTCTCTTCGTACACGTAGCGCAAGTGCTGGAACTCGACGATACGGAGTCCGCCCACTTCGATAACAGGCACCGTCGTGCGGTATCCGCTGATCTTTCCCTTGGAGGCGAAGAAGTTCTCGATCTTGGACACGAAATCCGACACGCCCGAGCGATCGGCGAGCAGTACTTCCGTGTCGTCGCGCTTCAACATGTAGACGAATTCGCACTTGTCGAGTGGAACACGCAGTCGGAAGAAGTTGTAGATCCGGTCTTGTAGCGCTACGATAGTCACAAACCAGATCGAGGTGATGACCCACATGACAATGAACACGACGGCATTGTCCTCCGACGCATCAAAGAGCGGCGGGTCGAAGCGTCCGTAGTAGTCGGCGATAATGACGATAAGCAGCGCATTCAAAGCCAGCGAAGCAACCACCACACAGCCGAACACGAACGTGCCGAGGTAAGAGTTCGAGAAACCCGTCTGTAGGAGTCCCTCGCTAGCTTCGATCTGCATCCGCGTGTCCGAGGCACGAACGCCCGTGTGATGACCGTTGGCATTACCCGCGACAGCTCTTGACGGCGTCTGTGGGGTAGCAATGAGCTTCTTGTTCATCTCGTTCACGGACAGGTTGGTCGTCTGCATGTAGGTCTTGTAACCGGTCCAGCCACCGAGCAGCACGAAGAACGCGAGATACAACAGATAGATCACAACCAACGGGGTCTCTGTGTACGTGGTGAAGCGTGGAGTCGTGGACGTGGATGCGGATACACAAGCAGCCTTGAGATCCGAATCCACAGAGCCGTCACGCAGCATGATGCTGTAGCAGGTAGCGCCCACGGGGAAGGATGCGTTGTTATTGCGCACATTGGCCGAGTACGTCCAGAAGACGGTGCTATCTTGCGACGCAGCTACTAGCGATGAATTCGTGTCGGCACACTGCAGTTCTTCCGTCAACTCGTCCGTTTCCGTGTTGGCCACAGCCTGCACTCGACAGATTGTGCTGGGATCATTGTAGTAGAATTTGGGCGTCTGCGGATGATACATGACGTACGGGAAGTTCACTTGGCGCTGTTTGTTCCAGCCATCGATGTAGTACGACTCGTAGTCACCGCCTGATGGCCGGTTATACTTGGTGTAGAGCACCTTGGTGGTCTCCGAGTACTCGCAGCAATAGTATTCGGGACTGTGTCGGATCGGACAAGCTGCAAAGTCCATTTGGTTGGCACTGGAGGAATGCACTTGCACGGGTGCAAGAGTGGCTAGCGCCAGCGTTGACAGGAGCACTGGACTCCAACGAGGCATCTTGGCGACAACCAGTAGCTGGATCAGGTGAAGATACTGTTGGACAGAGGTGGTTGAATGCTAGGCTGCCAATGCAAAACGCCGAATGAGTGAGCGGGGGCGAATGAGCTGAAGGCAGCGCGCTCTCCACCAGCGATGCACATGAAGTGCGTTGCCAGCTGCAAATCACTATGCGTACTCAACGTCACGTGTGGTACCGTCGCGTTTCAACGAAACGCACCCAAACATCGGCGTCAAGCTTGAGGCGCTACAGTAGTATGGTACACGTATTGGATGAACTGGTCGGGATACAAGCGATACTTAAGTGCATGCATTCGCAGTTGTCGCACGAGCAACCAAGGCCAACGAGTCTGTGAGAAGGTCACAACTAAGATTAGTAAAGCTTAGTACTTGCCGCCGTAGGGACTCGGCGTTCTACACTTTTGTTAGCGGTTTGTACGTAGAACTGTGAGACTTTCGCGTGGTCAAGTTTTCGCCGCTCGGACCAACCCATAGACAGGCTAGCAGCGTGTTGAAAATTTGCTCGGGCTATTGCAGTGAATGGCTGGTGTGGGCTGCGGTGTACACGTGTATACTGCACTTAGAGCTATTTGCTCAAGCTATCGCGACACAGGGAATGCAAAATGCAATAAAAGATGGCGTTCAACTTGACTTATCACATGTCATTTGTACTATTGTAGGACTATCAACACATAGCATACAGAAAGCAAGCTAAAAATCGAAGCACATGTCGCAGGAAGTACAGTGCATCCCCTCAATACATGGAATACTACATTCAATATCCTTTCATATCTGCTTATTTAATTGGTATGTGCAAATTCGGATACCCTACGAGAGCTGATTAACCCCCAAAATACGCTTCTGTACCAATGAAGCTATATTAAGGTGCTACACTGTATCGTTGGATGAGTGAGATTGCCCTTCGTGGTTGTTTACCCTCGCCAAGGTACTCAACGGCTGCTGGGGATGCTCAACCAAATGACCGTGTTGGCACCGATGAAAACACGCATGTCTTCTCCACTGATGAAACATGCACAGGTCGTTTCATACAGTTGCTACAGAGCTGCGATCTTCGCGACGATAACGAGTCGTTGGCCTCCTACCCAAGACTAGCACTCGCTAGGCTCGTGGCATCGCGGTTCTCTCGCTGCATGCGATTGAGACACACCAAAATGCAACCACGGCGCGGTCTGCAAAGATGCCATAGTGACACGCCCATGCACAGCTGGAGGTCACAATTCACACCGGCGCCCATTATCCTTCGCTCCATGCCCGAGGTGTTCGTCCTGCCGCATCTATGCTTCTCGTGCTCGAAGCTCGCTTTCCGCAGCTGCTGCCCCATCCACTCCAAGTACCATCGTGGGATGGGGTCGCAGAGGCTCGCAGGCATTCATCGAGGCTCGCGTGGCGATGGCGGTGGAGATGGCAACTCAGCGGCAATGAGGTTGTCCCCGAAGAGGACGAGCCAGCAGCACTGGGCCGGGCGGACCGCCAGTGGACAACGAGTGGGCTTGGCTGTGTGCTGAACACGGTATCCCGAGACAGGAAACACGGTATCGATGTGATTGGCTAATATTAATTGAAAACGTCATTTTAACCAATGAACGTTTGCCCGTGTGCAAAAGCAGGCGCTGAACATGTCCTATCTGCCTTGCTTGTCAAAGCAAGCGTGAGCCTTTGCCTGTGTTCACAGTGACAATCACCGCAAAATGGCACAAGAAATTTGTGGTTAATCAACCGCTGCCGAGTTTTGGGCTTGTTGTGTTCCAGCTTGCAAATAGAAGACTGACACTGGAGACTGGCACAACACGAAAGCTTGCTTTGCTTTGTAGGCGCATCTTGCATTTCAGCAGGATTCCCGGTAATCACTGCAAGCAAAGAGAGCCAGAAAAGAAAAGCGCATATATTGTCTCTTGCAAACGACCATGGTGGCTACCCGATGGTCACCATCATGTGTGGTTGTGGTCATGCTGCATGCAGTTGTCGCCGAAAATTCCTTGGCAGCACTGCCAAGAAGTCAAGTGGCAGTGATGTTCATTGAAGCTGCCACGCCACCTCTCTCCGTTCTTCATCGTAGGATGTCTCCAACCTTATTATATTCTGACTGAATGCCATCGCTGCCTCGCTACGTTGCTGCTGGCGGAAATACGGGGACGAAGACTCAAGTCGAAGCGTAAAAGTGCTTTTTTCCTTCCCATCTCGTTGAAAGTGAAATTTCACCTTTGCCTTCAATTTTTTCAGTGTGAGTTTTTTTTTTCGAGCAGATGCTGAGTGTACCATATTTCAGGCACCATTTAAAATGCTGAAACCTGGAATGCCAACTATGGTAGTAATTGACAGCTTCTGAACTCCCCGTAAAAGCTGCAGTTCGATGCTTTACTGAGATGCGCACTGCATTCGTCACAACCACGAGACAAATTTGCGATGCACGACTAGTGTAGTAAGGACAATTGTTGCAGTTGCACTTGGCCGGATAATCCACTGCATGTGACCTCACACATTACATTCATTGACCGCTGCGTACATAGTACAGTATACGGATCAAAGCCTGTCTGCTTATTAAGCAGTGCTTAACCCTTATGGTTGCCCACCGGTAGTGTAACACTACATATACTAGTGTATGATCCATGTAGTCGCTGCTTCGCTGTTGCGAGCTAATGGAATTGTTGTTCCAGAAGCTCACTTGTAGCAATCGCCTGCTGCAGTTCTTAGCTTGCTTCCTAAATCTACAGCTTCGTGGTATCCAGCCTAGTGGAGATCGTAGACATTTTGAGTTGACTTGCAACAATCTTTCATGTACGTTGAAGAGGAGCCCCTCCATCCGAGATACTACATGTAATGTGATTTACCTGTACATGTCCCGGGATCGCTGCGACTGGAGTTCCGCTGAAATCCAGCAATCGCACGGGAGACCCGTGCGGTACCAGCTGCGGGTCCATCAGTACAGGCTGCTGGAAAACTGTGGGTTGCGTCGCAGTGTACGCTGTCATCTGGATCGCCTCAAGACAACTTTTCTGGCGTGATGGTTAAAGCCAAAATGGTTTTACACGTGTTGAGGCATAGGAACACGCTGCACGAGTAGACTGATTTGGCGGACAAGATAAAGGCCGACGACGCTGACAAAATTCCCACCGTACACTTGAATGTACAGTGCATTTACAGTTCAAACAGCGGTCTCCAAAACACAAAACACTCGGTCAGAGCTGTTGTATTTACCGGTATGCTCACCGATCCATCGGTGGCTCGAACCATGCTTTGGTATTGAAAACAAGGAAGTTACCTACGTCATAACGCCATCATGCGACCCAACTCCGGCGGTACTTTCGTTTACAATAGGTGGGATCTCATCCCCTCTCGTCTAAACGTCCAAGGTGCAGATCTTCTCGTCCTATCTACGTAAAACGAAGCCGGCAAGGATCCGTGCCGCCTCAGCCGACTGCCCAGTTTCTCCCAATAAAGCAAAAACTTAGGTTCAAAATCTACCATACATGTATTATAATCTTTCTATGCCAACGGCTGGATATCTTACATGTACTATCGTTCGACTTCTTGCAGTCCGAGCTCTAAGATCCTTTTAAACTACTTCTAAAGTACTTTTATGATGATTGGTTTTGCTTATTCAAACTTAGAAGACCGAGCATCGAAACCCTCGTTGTGGGGTTTTGGGACATTTTTCTGATTAACTATTTAGTGTTGCAGAGACGGTGGTGGTGCTCTACCATCTGGATACCCTTCTACCCACACTCCATGAGGTTGACGAGGAGCTCTTCATCTGCATCCTCCACCGCAGGAAACACAGAATCGCCGACACAGCCGGAAGCGAGTCATTCGGCAATTTGCATCGGCGAACTCACACCAAACTTCCCTCAAGTCAAGCACAATTCTAAGTGTATACTACATCAGAGATGCCTCGCTGGAGTTCGATGCTCCTACCAACGGTGGCTCTGGCCGCGTTAGTACCCACCCAAGTACGCGCTGCAGCGGCTGACCAAATGGACTTCGCCGCTTGTCCGGTGCGACACAGTCCCGAGTATTACTGCTGTGAATACTCGGAGACCACCAAGGTGCTCTACACCAAGTACAACCGTCCGTCGGGCGGCGACTACGAGTCGTACTACATCGATGGCTGGAACGAACAGCGTCAAGTGAACTTCCCGTACACAATGTACCATCCTACCACGCAGGAGTTCTACTATGATGATCCCAGCACGATCTGCCGCGTGCAGGCTGTGGCCAACACGGAAACGGGCCTGTTGACGGAAGAACTGCAGTGTGCAGACACCAACTCGTCACTCGTGGCTGCGTCTCAAGACAGCACCGTCTTCTGGACGTACGCGGCAAATGTCCGCAACAACAACGCCACATTCCCCGTTGGCGCTACCTGCTACAGCATCATGCTGCGTGACGGCACAGTTGACACGGATCTGAAGGACGCGTGTATCTCCACGTCCTCAACTGTCGAGCCTCGCTTCACCACGTTCACTGAGACTCCGTTGGTCATCATCTATCTGTTGTATCTGGCCTTCTTTATCATCCTTGGAGGTTGGGCGGTCTACAAGAACTTCATGCAGAAGTCCAACAAGTCGGTGGACGAGATGAACAAGAAGCTGATCGGCACGCCTCAGACGCCGTCGCGTGCTGTCGCCGGCAACGCGCACGGCCGCCACACCAGTGTACGCGTCTCCGATACCCGCATGCAGATCGAAGCGGCCGAGGGTATCCTCCAGACGGGGTTCTCCACGTCGTACATTGGTAACTTCGTGTTCGGCTGTGTGATCGTAGCGTCTCTTGCTCTCAATGTGCTGCTCATCATTATCATCTGCGATTACTACGGTAACTTCGACCCTCCGCTATTCGATACGTCGGAGGACAACGCTCTCGTGTTCATTATCGTCTGGGTCATTACGGCCATTTGGTTCGTGGTCATCGTGGCGATGCAGGACCGCATCTTCAACTTCTTCCGTCTCCGTGTACCACTCGACAAGTGCAAGTTCGTCTACATGCTCAAGCGCGACGAGACGGAAGTGCTGCTTGCCGATCGTTCGGGTGTATCGGACTTTGTCGCTAAGGTCGAGAGTTTCTTCGCCTCCAAGGGAAAGATCAGCGGATACCGTACGACTGTTCCGGTGGTGGAGGTTGATGGTCTTCGTGTTGTCGAGTTCCAACACATCCGCTACGTGTACGAGGAGACTGAGCAACGCTTCGTGCCGGGAGCCGTCGCACTTGGTCGCACCTACGATGATATGCAACAGGAAGCCAGCGGTCTATCAGATACCGAAGCGAGACACCGTATCAACACGGTCGGATCGAACTCGGTCGATGTGGAAATGCCGTCGTTGCCGGTATCTATGGCGCAGGAGTTCTTCACACTGTTCTACATCTACCAGATCATGTGCTACTACGTCTGGTACTACTTCACGTACTGGAACATGGGTATCGTCATGACGGTTGTGGT